AGTTTTTTTAAAGAGCTTTCAATTTTAAAATGAAAATAAAATTTAATAAAAATGATTACTTCAATCATAGTTACAGAAGATGATATGATTAACTAACATAATAGCTTTCTGCCTACGATTCAATGCCATTGAAAGAAGAATTAATATCATCACTATAATGTCACCACTAATGATTCAGTAGCCAATTGTTGTTATAGTATCAACGACAATAAGAATCGTTGGTCGTCCAAGAACTGTAATAGATATATTTGAATCGTAACTATGATCAACAAATATAAACGATTACAGTTAAAAAAGTGGATCAATTCTGACGAGATATTTTTCAACATTTAGGAGACAAAGACAACGAGTAATAAAATACATTTCGCAATCAGAGAAAACAGTGAAGAGACGTGCTGTTGTCAAGGCACTTCAATCGATATTCAATTCGGCATAGAGTATCATTCTGGTGTGAAGGATGATTGGGGTGGCAAAGGGTTTCAACTTACCGGATTAAATGCATCCGTAAACGCGACGACAACCCCCGGATGTAATTCGACTCTGAGGAAGTAACTGGCTCACGTTACGTTAACGCGTCAGCGACCAACCGAGGATGTCTCGCGACTGCCCCGCACCACTTCAATTTCTGCTGTGGTGTACGCATTCAGCATAGCTTGTCACGTGATGCGGCCAGTTAAAACGGCATCTCGTAAATGCACGCGGGCGGATATTTAGGCAACGTGAGATTTCGAGTTCACGCCGCGTTTGTTTCTATATCACGCAGAGTTCCACGTCCGAAGACATTCGGAAAATGTATTTACGAGAAAATCGCGCGATTTAAATTTTCATTCGGACGGAATTACTGATTATGTTAGATATCTTCCGGCTATCCACATCGTCCACATTTCGTCGGGATTGTTTGGATTAACGATTTCCGATCGAATAGAAAATCTAAGAGAAAATTTACGATCTATTTCTGATAAAGGATGCAACGTCATTTCTAATAATAACGTAAAATGCAAAAAATGGATGAGCTTCTACTATCGTTACTAACGTTAATCTAAAATTTGCAATATAGTGCTGTATTATTATAATGAAAAATATGAAGAGTATAATCATTCGATATGCGTGCGACAATATGGACAATATGTTAGTGGCGCGCACAAGACTTGAGATTTATGTGACGAGTATACGTGGTATTAAAGTGTAATAATGGCGGTTATGATGGGGGAATGCTCAGGTTTTATTAAGAGAATCGTATTTCCAGTGTCGATTATCATAAACACATGAAAATTACAAATAGGTTTTTGATATTTATATATTTACAATTTATTATGATAATAATTACTACTTAACTTAAATTAAAACTTCCATAAAACTTTTTTTGCTTATTAATTTAAAATTGAACAATTAAAAATTAAGATGCTGATCTTTGGAAAAATCGCTTGTTGCTCATACACGAGATATTAAGACATCTTCGTTATCTCTTATTTTTTTTTTATTGTTGCTACGCCTGTATATTTCAAGTAAAAAAAATCAATCAATATTTCAAATAGCTTTAATTATTAGTTTGCATAAATCGTACAAATAATTTGCACAAATAGATAAGTAATTGATTTATATCTGTGTGCTTTAATTTATATTTTTCCTCAAACCTCAACATTTATCTTACAATTTGAGAGCTTGACATATGTGTTATATAAGCATCCTGTAATGGAAAAGCATAGTTTTTGACCGCCAAGATATTTGTGTAATCTGTTGGTTAATGTACGAAAAAATAACGACGAAACTTGTAGTATACGTCGAGCGACGAGAAAGAATTGGACGGCTGGTAAAATTAGAATTCGAAGACTATCAGCGAGAGTGACGTTGCGAGAGCTACGTTGATAGATTAGACGAAGTATATCGTAAATTTTGTAAATATATGCTGAAAGGAAGCGCAATAAAATCCATATATCATAATGTTTTTCAGTGTTTATTTGTACCTCTTGATATATTTTATATTTCTTCGTAGGAGAATAAATTTCTTTTATTCTTCTTCATAGAAAAAGAGATTAGATTAAGAAGAGACTAAGATTGTTTGTCATATTACCTTCATCGTACCTTCGACACATTGTGTCGTTATAAAATTATGATAGATAACATAGGGATGATTTTTCAAATCAGTTGCGTCGTTAAAGATTTAATCGATGATCGAATCGTGCATGTTGGTGCTTTACTAACAAGATGACTGAAATATGTAACAATAGATAAATTGTATATATATATATATATATATATATATACACACATTACCTAATTGTTATTGATATATGTATCTCTAAATTTTAAAATATGTGAAAATATTTATTTAAATAATATTGGAAAGTGTTTGATTTTTTATGTAAATTGTTTTATTAACAGTATTGTTTTCTTTATAATAAGATTTTGTTTATTTTTATAAGAATTGTTATAAATTTTATAACAATTTGCTTAGTTTTATTTATAAGTTTTATTAATAGAATATCTTGTCTTTTAATATTAAAATATTTACCGATCTGGTTATCTGACATCTATTTTATAAAGCAAACAAAGGAATTAAAAGGAATAGAAGAAATTGATCTGAGACGTCATTACTCTTTGTTTATTGTAAGATTTAACGTTTAAGTCTTTAATCTTTTGAAATGTGTTGACAAGACGTCTCAGGTTTCGAACGTCAGCATTTAAAAGTTGTTTGTATCATCATTGAGATTTGTGGAATTCAATAATAATTGAACGTAAATTGAAAATTGTACGTAAATTTCAAATAAATATGCGATTTAAGATTCAGAATTTAAGATTTGGAATCCTCGTTAGTGAAAAGCACCATCAGGATTATGTAATGCTGACGCATTTATAATGTATTTTCCCATTTTGATCGATGTGATCTGGACTTTTCTTCCCTTGCAAGTATAATGGAATTCAGTTCAATAAATTCATTTATTTTTAAGACACGTTTAATAATTGTTTAATAAGTATATTAAATTAATTATTTAGTCTCTTATTTTTAAATAAATTATGAAACTTTAGATATTTTATATTTGTTCTTTATACTTAAATACAAATGTGTGTGTGTGTGTGTGTGTGTGTGTGTGTGTATGT